AAATCAGGAACATTAGGGGGTGGGCTTATACTAGAGATAATTTGGGGGGGGGTTATAATTGTAACTATCTTCCCAACCCTCGAAAAATTATCCAAATTACATTTTCATTCACAGTGCTGGTCTTTTTGAGGCAAAAAATGTGAAACGATCGAGTGGCCATTGATTTCCACAACACCTATTACAATAAAGAAACAAGTTCATAAAAATATGCACATTTTAATACAATACGGTTTACATACCGTCTGAATTTACGGTGTAAAAATTGGTAGGGTCTGTGGGAAAAGAGTCAAAGGCAAGACCTTTATCATTATCTTCGTTGTAGAATGTTTTCAATTGTATGCAACAAAGCAAATTCCGCCATAATATTTGTCAGCACGATTTGACCTGAAATAACTTCCTTCGACCGAAACATCTTTCGTTAACCAATCAAAATGCTGTGTCGTACAGACGAAGTTTACAGATTATTGATGAAGTAATTTTTTCAACGCAATGCAGAAGTAAATTACCACATTGTTAAAATGCGATCTCTTAATACTGATTTTGACCAAAAAAAACTGTTGATTCGCAATTTTCGAAAGGTACACTGAGGGCGGAGGAAGTATGTAAAACTTTCATGGTCGCAAACATGTCATGTAGAAGAATAGTTTGCTCGTTCACACCCCATTCACGATAGTCTCAATGGACACAATTGCTTGAAAAAGTAAAACTACTATGACCAGGTTTCAAGACTTGACAATCACATTTTTGGCGTTTCGAGAACTACTACTCAAAAAAAATTCAGGCAGAGAGTTTTCAACCTGCCTATTCACATGGTCTGGTCAGTCAAAATGACTATTTTGAACTGTAGGCATTAATCTGCGATTCAGCCAATGACGGAGATAGAAATCTAGGTCATGGGGCTTCCCCTAAAGATTTTCCCTTACGTTACCAACCACGTGACCGAAGCAATGAGGTGCTGCCATATTGCTTTATTGCCTCACTCTGGTTCTTTTCCTCTGCACCGAGGACTAAGCCAACGCTACGGAAAAAGTGGGGTGGTCGAGGGACCCAGAGTCTATGGTGGGTATGAACTGTGAATAGACGGGCTGAAAACCCTCTGCCTAAATTCACTACGTTCAATTACCCACCATAGACTCCGGTCAGTAAAAATGACTATTTTGAACGTCGGCAGAGTCAGACGCCGATAGGTGGCGGGTTTTCCGAGCAAACAGAAAACGATGAAAGGGTGTCCCAGTCTGGGATAATACTCTCAACTAATATGACTACCACCTAATTAAGACCAGGGAAGAAACAGTGCTGTCCCCGGAACGAAGCAAAATGCTGAACGGTGACGGGGTTCGGTATGCCCAAGAATGCTAGACCCAAATTCTTGGGTAACTGGTTTTCAAAAGAAAGGACCAAAACAGTGCTGCATGAGGGCATAGGTCGAAAGCGAGACCTGGAAAGTTCCAAGGAGCGCCGACGGGAGAAACTTCTCCATACAAATCTGTAGCAGAGACTACTCTATCTCCTATGCGCAGGGATCCCCGAGGTCGTCCGGGAACCCTCTCTAAAACGACGAAACCCTCTGTAAAATGACGCTCCTCAATGGATTGGGTATCTCTTAGGTAGAAGTGGTAAAGACATTTTGCGTTCTCCAGAAGCCTGCCCTCAGCACATGCACATGTTCAGCACAAGAGCTAATGAGTTAGCAATCGCACTGACCTCATGCGCTCGTACTTGGTGTCTCTGTAAACCCTGTGTCGAGGAAGCCAAACGGTTAAAATCCTCGAACCTGGCAATGGAAGTCAGAGAGGCTGGTCACAACACATAAACATGTGCTTTCTGCCATGCCTCAACTCCTTAGTACGGCTCTCACCAGCACGACTTGATTGTCCATAAAGGCGGCACACCCGTCCGAGAAGGACAGGGTCTCTAATTCAGCCCGATGCCTACCTGAGGCGAGGGCTTGTAGGAAGACTGTTTTCCATGTCAAGTATTTGAGTGGTGCTGATCGGAGAGGCTCAAAGGGCCGTCTGCTTAGAGCGAACACAGCCGAAAAGTCTCAATTGGGTGGTTCCCTCGTTCAGGGGTCTAGGCCTTTGATTAAGCAGTAAATAGTCTCCTAATAGTAGGAGGCTAGCCTCGTCCCCAGAGAATTCTCAATGGTGGGTGACAAGGCTGACCTGTAGCCAACAAGCGCTGAAAGGACAAGTACATTTCGTCAAGCAGATTGACGAAAATCAGCTGCCTGGCCAACAGAGGGATGGCATGGATCTCCCTTCCACTACACCAATCAGTGTACGCTCATTATTTCGAGGCATAGGCTGTGTTGGTGGGATCCCTGCTTGCCCTGGCCAGGACTTTGGCAGCCCACTCAGAAAAAACCTGAGTGAGTCAACTGAGAGCTTCAATGCGTGTAAGTGGTACACCACTGGGCTCAAAGGCAGTGCGCCATTCGGTTGGGACAGCAGATCCAGAGGTCCGGAAGCACCCTTGGTGTTTCGACTAACATTTCCAACAGTAGTGGAAACCAGACCTTGCTTGGCCCATTGGGCGCCACCCGCGTCAAAGTGCAGGTGCGCTCTTGTCGAAGTTTCTCCAGTACCCTTTGTATAGTGGGAAGAAAGGCATACATGTCCATGTGGGTCCACGGGGTCAACAAAGCGTCCCTGGCCCAGGCTCCTGGAGCCGGCAGGAGTGTTGAGTACGTCGGAAGCTTGGTGTTCTGGGGTGTGGTGAATAGGTCTAACCTTGGACCATCAAAACAGTCTGGAGGCAACCCCATGGGGTATCTGCCACTCAGCGCTCTGGAGATGGAGCCGCCACGAGAGGGCGTTCGCTTGACTGTTCCTCACCCCTGTAAGGTGGTGTGCGCTAGCTCCACATTGTATTCCAGGTACCAAAGAAGAATTTGCTTCGCTAGGACTGACAACGATGGAGATCTGGTTCCCTCTCCTTGTTGTTATAGGAGACCACCACTGTGTTGTCTGTACGAAGCAAGACACTGTGGTATCGATATGGCGGTCCTGAACCCAATGCAGGGGCCATATTCATTGGGCTTGTTCGCCCAATAGGTGCGCTGCTCACCCTGTGAGGGAGGCATCTGTTACCAGAGTCATAGCCGTGGTGAGTGGGTCCAAGGGGACCCCCTGTCTGAGGCTGGCAATTGCCGACATAGCATCCCTCGGTCGGTCCGAGAGTGTTACCCGCCTCTCCAGTTCCTGTAAGTGAGCCCGGTGTTGCGGCAAAGTACGTTGTATCGAACGGCTGCATAACACGGCCTGGGGGAACTACCTTGCGAACCGAGGTCATCATTCCGATGATCCGCATCAGTTCTCAGAGGAACACAGAGGGAACGCCGACTAGGGTTCAGCTAGGTTGCTTAGGCAACAGGCCTGCGATGACCGTACCAAGCCCCCCTCCGTGTCAAACTCCATGCCCTGAAAGACCAACTGTTGTGTTGGCCAAGGATGGGAAGTCCAACTGGTGTAGTAAATCCTAGTTAGCCATACTGTTTGACTAACCACCCCTTGCTTGGGTTGTGTAGCAACCAGCCATCTAGGGATGGGTTGATGTGTACCAACGCCCAGCGCAGCAGTAGCACCACCTGTTTCTAGACTGTGGTGAATACGTATGGAGCCATGCAAAACCCGAAGAGAAGCACCCTGTATTCGACTACTTGGCCCAACTGGGCAAATCAAGGGAGTCACTGACTCACTAGGTGTATGGGTATGTGTGGGTGAGTATCGCTCAAATCTAGCAAGGCTAACCAGTAGAAACAGAGCACAGAGAATAGTACGGTGCTCAGTGTTTCCAGGAAGCACATACTGATTTAGTCTGCGTAAGTCCAGAATGGGACGCAGCCACCTGTAGTCTTTGGAACCACCAACATTTGTGAGTAGAAGCCCTCACTTAATGCAGGGTTCTCTATCCTGTGTATAGCGCCCTTTGTAAGCAAACTGTCTACCTTCTGTCGGATTCCTTCCGCTTTGCGGGGGTCCCCTGGTAGTGTTCCGAACGGGGGCTGATGCCAGGGGGGTGGAGATTGCAGCAGGATCTTGTAACTGTGTATCACAACCTGGAGAGTCCAGGGTACACATTGCCTCCAAGCCGGAATACACTGGTGCAATCTGTGTGACAGAGATGTGTGGGTTTGGCGGTTCTACATCAGGGTTAATCTCTCCTCCACCGAGGTGAGACCCCGCGAAGCCGGTAGAAGTCAATAGGTTCAGACATATGCCGAACATATGCCCATCCCCCTCATCACAAGCGAAATCATCAAACTTGTTTCCCCTGCAATCTAGGTAGGCGATCCCCGAGAAAGAGGGGAGACCACCATCTGGTCCCTTCTTCCTGGGGGGCGCATTGCCTGGCTACTACTGGCCAGTGGGTGCTGACATTGGTCGTTATGATTTCTCTGCTTGGGGTCCTTTTGGCTTTCCATTGGCAGAAGCCAAACTGGCTCACAGGTCTCACCTGTACCAACTGGTCAGTGGGATCCGGAAGCACCGGGGCAGCCCCTGCCATGAGAGCCAGATGACACTGCAGAATATCCCGCGTAGATGTGTGGTGTCCCACCAATGGCTGTGTCTGCTAGTCTAGGAGGCTGGTGCGTTCCGCCTGTAAGACTTCAGAGTGCTGGCGGCGCAAAACATTGCGTACCAGTGGGCTGGCCACAACTCAAAGGTTGAGGGTCGAGGTTTCCGACTGAACTGACGAAAAATAACCATGAACGCGGCCACCCCCCCCCCTAGCCCGTTCCACCGAAACAAAAATTTGTGGTATCAGGGTCGGGGAGGAACCGAAGGAAGGGTGCGAGATTTGACTCCAGACTCTGCTGGCTCAAACAGCACTTGATCGGGTAGCGTTTGGTCCAGTGGAAAGGGTTGAGCATAAAATTGGCCCACCCTAAGGACTTAGGCCTCTAATCCGTAGGGATCCAAGGTCCGCCCATCAACACCGTCTGTGCATTACCCCTACGTCCAGCACTCAGCCAGACCAGGAGAGTCATGCAGTCTCTATTGCTTTGGATCCCGCCATCTGGATCCCGGAAGTGACAGCAAGGCAAACCCGGCGCCGTGCAAGGACAGATCCACAGAGGGACCCGCAACAGGCCCCGTTGGAGTAAAAACCTCCACGGGCACAGCCTCGCTGTTGCCGGTATGATCGGACAAACCATCACCTGCAGAAGCAGACTGCGAGGATGCCCTCTGATCAGCAGGGGGCCTAGAAATCGTGAGACCTCCACTGTCGCGCCTCTCACTCGTCGCCACGGAACACAAGGCACCGGTAGACGAGTGGGAGGACTTTCCGCTCATGCTAAGACACCACTCACTCACACTGATTTTACTGGATGCGCGACTGCTACAAACCCGAGCGACGCAGTCAGTCTCAGCAATTTGCACGCGGCCCTGGAACGCATCCCAGGCCTCGGAACCCCAGTTGTTACAAATATTTTCTCGGCAAAACCCTGAACCCCGTACATTGGTAAAAATGAACAAGAAAGCTGACACAAAGAGAACCAACGATGTGGTGAATGTGTGTCGCCGGGTTTTTTTTCCCTTTGTTGTAAATATATACACACAAAAAGGGCGACACAGAGGTAAAAAATAAGAAAGACTTATCCTACCAGCCACAGCGTTGGCTGCCACGTAGGTGGCAGCAAGCCAGAGCAAAAACCCGGACAGGAAAAACAAATCTTGAAGACTGAAGCGCACCGTTTTCATTGATCCACACCAAATGCGAGAAAAAGACAGAGTGAGGATAAAGGCAATATGGCGGCGCCTCATTGCCTCGGTCACATGGTTCGTGACGTGAGGAAAAATCTGGAGGTCATGGGGCTTCCCTTGACCTAGAATTCTTTCTCCGTCATTGGCTGAATCGCAGATTAATGCCTAAAGTTCAAAATAGTAATTTTGACTGACCGGAGTCTATAGTGGGTAATTGAACGTAGTGAATATGGATTACTTCAGTATTGCAACATCCAGGTTCATCCTGAGTAAATGACAGAATAGAAAACATGCGAACCATGTTATGTATGTTCACCCGACATGCAATCTGAAATTAATGTGAGTTTTCTCATAAAAGCAGGAACCAAAGTACCATACCAATCACGATTTTTATGCAATGAAATAATTTATTTTAATAAATGTCATCGACGCCCAGTAAAAACACCCTGGGCCTATACTCTGAGATACCCCCAACTCGTTAAATGTCTAAAAACAGAGGGATGGGCTTATACTAAGGGAAGTACAGTAGTAGTATGGTCAAAAAGCAAAATGGCCGCCATCTTTGATCAGATTGTACAAATTTGAATAAAATTGACAGACCATGTCCATGATAAAACATTTCCAAAAAACAAGATGGCTGCCAATCGACCATAGACATGTATCCTAACATAATGCATAATATATAATGTATGTACTGAACAAAAACTGACAAAGCATGCACAAGAGACCACACTTTCAAAAAGCAAAATGGCTGCCAGTCAGCCATCTTTGATTGAAATAGTAAACCACTGCATGTGCATAAGTCCCAGATAAAGTACAAGGCACATGCAAAGAATGAACAGATTTGGTTCATAGGGCTCTGAAATATGACTTGGATTTCAAATTATAATTATTTCAATAGCAGTTCAAGTCAAGCGGAGTGCGCAAAATAAAATGATTAATAAAAGCATTTTCACTAAAACATATATCTGCATTCGTTCGTTCAAAGAACTAATAAGTTTAGGATAAGAAAATGTCTCTGATGAGTCATTACATTTAAGTCACCATATTCACATGCCAACTCTTTGAGATATCACTACCATAGGCACAATGGTAAAAGATATTGAGAAGTTTTTCCCAACTGCACTCTTGAGAAGTATTGGCTGTGAATTTTAGTAAACATATCTAATAAATGTTCATATGTCAATTATTTTCAGCGCATTTGATTATGTGTTTAAATTTCTTATGCAAAAACCTTTGAATAGTATGTGTAAATTGAAATGAGGTAGAATCATGACATATCCTCCTTTTTCAGACCATTAAATAATTCATATAGTCTCATGACCTAAATAAAGCACCGTGAATGTTCTCAGAGTGAAAATATTAAAATGAACACTTGTTTAACAATTTAGGATCACAAATCAGCACACATGTTATAATTTTAAATAACACTTTATACTCACATCCATACGGGTATTTCTTCGTAACAATCTCCCATAATGTGATACCAAAACTAAATAAAATCATAGAAAACTGTCAAAATGTTTGTACTGCGCCTCTTGGCTGATATAGCACAGCTATTTACGAAACAAACTGGACTTATGTAATTATTGTGCAACCATCCTGCAACATCTCCATGTACTTAGCAGAGTGTATCATATGGTAAGATTGAGATTTGTCCAGCAATCTGTAACCTACATACCAAGTTTGAATATAATAAAATCAAGACATGCCTGAGAAATTCTGTCAGTCAGAGATCATCAAAATAAAAAAATTACAAACGATATTATTACAAGATAAATCATTTGCTTCATTAAACACATACAACAATGCATATTTTCACTGAGATCAGTGACCTTTGAATGTGTATCACCATTGATCAGTCAAGTAGAAACAGTCAAAATATTTTATCAGATTTTCTCAATTTTTGCATGATATTTTCATACAGGACATCTGTTGTTCATACTCAGGGAAGACTTTATACTGATGAATAAGGTGACCAAGTTTAATGAAGTTAGGAATAGAATTAGTAAAGTTATTGTGCACACAATAACAATTACTAATGATGTTGACAATGACGACAACGCCGGACAGAAATTTTTCTTTTAATATACCTTTCCCTTCCATCTTTGATGGTACGGGCAAGGTAAAAATAAACATGCAAATGAAATAAATTGGTCAAAATATGTTGAAAATATGAAAGACTGTCACATTAAAATCGACCATTTTGAATTTAACCACTAAACAGAATACTGTACATTGGTAACCATGAACGTCAGTTTGAAATCTTATGTTCACACAAATGAAGAAATCCTAACCTATTGTCCTAAAGCATTCATGTTCCAAATTTTATTCAAATATGACGATCAGTAATTAAGATATCAGTGTTAATTAATTATTTTAATTAGATGATTAATATGCACAAATATTTAACCCAAAACTAATCAGGTCTCTGCACAGTCCTTAAGTAAATATGTACCAAGTTTCATTGAAATGTGATGATTACTACTTGAAATATCAAAAGCGAAAAATTAATTAATTATGCAAATTAGGTAATTAATATATACTGATATCACCCTAAAAACAATCAGGTCTGTGCAGAGTCCTAAGACATCTATGTACCAAGTTTCATTGAAATGTGATGATTACTACTTGGAATATCAAAAGGTGAAAATTAATTAATTATGCAAATTAGGTAATTAATATGTACTGATATTACCCTTAAAACTATCAGGTCTGTGTAGTGCACTATGACATCTATGTACCAAGTTTCATTGGAATGTGATGATTACTACTTGAAATATCAAAAGCTGAAATTTAATTAATCATGCAAATTAGGTAATTAATATCTACTGATATTACCCTGAAAACTATCAGGTCTGTGCAGTGTCCTATGATATCTATGTACCAAGTTTCATTGAAATGTGATGATTACTACTTGAAATATCAAAAGCTGAAAATTAATTAATTATGCAAATTAGGTAATTAATATGTACTGATATTACCCTAAAAACTATCAGGTTTGTGCAGTGTTCTATGATATCTATTTACCAAGTTTTATTGAAATGTGATGATTAGTACTTGAGATATCAGTGGAAAAGCCAAAAATTGATTTATCATTATGCAAATTAGGTAATTAATATTGCACAGATTTTTACCCAATACTAATCAAATCTGCACATTAGTTCAGAGCATCTATGTGCCAAGTTTCATCAAAATCCAATAAGTGGTTCTTTAGATATCAGTGGAACAGTCATGGAACAGCTAAAAATCAGCTAATTGTCATGCAAATTAGGTAATTAATATGCATGGATTTTTACCAAAACCAAATTTTTACCAAATCTGCGCATTGGCCAAGAGCATCTACGCACCAAGTTTCATCAAAAACCAATGTATGGTTCTTGAGATAGCAGTGGAACAGACACAGACACACACACACACACAGACACACTAACTGCAAAGATTCCCTTTTTGTGCTTCGCACACGGGAGTCAAAACTATATACTTGCCAAATAGCAATCTTTTGAGTGTTCAGATCCATGTATTGGTACTCCACCATATCCGCCTACAGTCTTGTTAATTTAGTGGTGGCATAGAGTTAGTTTACAAACAAACAAACAAACAAACTATACATCAAAAAGGGAATGGAAATACCTGTATACGTCACGTTTATTATCTGGCTTTCTGTTGATATCCTCAAGACATTCTGGGGCTATATGAGTCACTGTACAATATGCTCCCTGGTCTCCAGATGTGGTTGATACTCTTGAACGTCTTGGTACCATTTTTGAATATTCATGCCATACAGATAACCCAAAGTCTGAAATCTATGAATAATATGTGCAACATACACAAATTGAAAAAAAAATGGATTGTTAGTAGCATGTCTGTAGTTATTTGGTTGTAGCTACAAAATAACAGCAGATAAAATAAAATTTGATCACCTGCAGCGTTACAAACATCCTGTGCAATTAACAAGTCATGAAAACTGTGTTTTCGATAATTTGAATCGTCAAAAAAGCAGCCTCTCGGCTGTGATAGGTCCGCTGTTAGCAATGCACATTTCAATTAAAGAACTCAAGATATCATCAGAAAATGAACAATATGTACAGTATCAAAGCAATCGCACTTGCGGTTTTCAACAAGAGGTCGAAAATATCACTTTTTAACAAAAAGGAGTAAAATATTCATCAAAATTAGAGAATTAAAGATATCATCACAAAATAAACAAATCTAAGAGGTACATATACACGACGTATCAAAACAGTAGACATTAGACAACGTTGATGGCTGAGCTAAAAAGCACAATGGAAAGAATGGGCGTCAGGTAATCCCTAAGACAAATATTGATATGACATATGCATTACCGTATTTACCTATATCTAAACTATCATAAGATGTGTTAGTTGTTATAGTACCATGCTTAGTAACTTCCTTTACAGAATGCAGGGTTCTCCACGAGGGGTTTTAACAGGGCGCGGCGCCCTGTTATCTGAAATTGGCGCCCTGTTTAAATTGTCAGCGCCCTGTTATATTTCCTGTGCGCCCTGGTCCCAGCCAAAGAATTTTTTACAAAACAGGCCATCACTCATTGTTTTCCGAAGATGATTCATCGTGCTCAGGGTAATTGGTTCATTGTTTTAAGGTGTGAAAACTGTGAAAATTCCAGCTTGTTATCGTAGCAGGTCACCGTGAGGTGATAACACCACCGAACAAAACGTTTTTTCAACACGATTAAAAATGAACATGTGGCCTAGGAAAGTATATTACCGTACCCATATTTTTACTGCCAGGGTGACGTCAAATATATAAAATCGTTATCGGTAAAACTATTCGTTAAAACATAAGATCTAAGGTTAAAACCAAGTTCACGCCGTGACTTGTAGCGGCAACATCGTCACCGCCGAGCGAAACAAAGACAGCCATGCACTTGCATGATCGGTAAACGACCGGCGCAGTCGACGTACCATCACAGACATTGCTGATCACCAAGAAGTCCACACGAATGCTTGCTTAAACATGTAAATGTTTATATTTTGTCGAATGTCACTAATATTTAAAGTTGAATTTTCTTTAAATCACTATTTAAAAACCCCGGTAAAATGGCCATGCTTTCAACTCGCATCATAAGTGGAGGAAATAAATTTACTTGTGTTCTTCTTGGAACAAATATTCTGATTGGTTGTTTTTTGCGTCAATGCGTGGCTTTGACCAATCAAAAGCATAGTTACATAATATCAGGATGCACACAGTAAATGAACTGTTTCCAGGTCACTGCTGTTCTTAACGAAGCAGACATCAACAAACTTTCGATTCGAATGAAAATTATTCGTCTAAGTATGCATTTTTTTATACATAATTCTATTATTTTTGATAGTAACTGTTACTACAGATCGAAAATCTTCTATTGTGTAGATTTTATTTTGTTTGAGCATCTTGCTTTTTGGTGCCGATGACGCACATTCATAGTTTTTTAATGAACCAATTACGAACGTTTGTGCGACATCATGAATTTTATTTTGCTTCGTCCAAATAAATATAAATCACAATTGTTGCTAAAAAAATTAAATAAAGCATGTATGTATCTATTTGGTAAAATAAATTAACAAACTTGTTACCCTTTTCTGGACGCGATCATACTGGTAAACAACTGATGTCGCCGCGTGATGAATTGTGCAGCTAAAATCAGCTGATTGTACGTGCTGACGTTTACTTAATAATAGCTCTTCAAAATTCTCATTTATTTTGTAATAATATATATATATATATATATATATATATATATATATATATATATATATATATATATATATATATATATATATATATAATGCATATGTAAAAAATATGTAGATTAATAGATTTCTTGGTTTCTATTTTTTCAACATCCATGCCAATGATGCACGTTACAAATGTGCCACGCCCACTTTCCACTGTTTAATTTTCAAACCGTGGAGAACCCTGGAATGTCTGAATCACAGTTCAATTTTTAACATGTTTTACCCGAAAATAGATAATCGCTAAGATGAAAAATTAAACACAGAAAAAAAACCTCGTTGAAGAAGTGCAGCAACTCGATATACAAGTCGTTAAACTTATAAACATTATAAAAACACATTATCATGCTTAAAACTATCTGCCATGTGAATTGTATACAGCATTCAGAAAATAAATGCATCTAGTTTAAGTAGTGAATCTCATTTACCTTTGCTTTAGGTCCCTTGTCAACAAGTATGTTGTCAATCTTCACATCACGATGCACAAGCCCTACAGTTTTGTGCAGATAATTCATTCCCAGTATCACATCGTGCACAAGACCTAATATTGTTGGCCAGCTGACGTCATTATTCTTTTGGTATTCCCTCAATGAGCCGTGACACATGTATTCCAATACAAGTGCGTAGTTAGATGGATGCATCACTACACCCAATATTTGGACTATATACGGAGAACGGAACTTAGTCATTGTACGTGCCTCGTCTTTCAGCATCTTGTGATCTCTGGATGTGAAAAAACGCTAAACAATCAACAAATGTGTTATACATTTTGTATATTCAGCCTATATATTCACAGTTTACAAAAAAATCAGCATTATGTTACATATTAATTTATTACTTTTCTGAGGAGAATATACCATTTTGATCAGTTTCATGACAAATACACACAAATGATTGTAAATAATATTTG